TTTTTTTTATGACAACTATTTTACTTTAATTGAAAAATAATTGCCTAAATACATATGTAGGGTGAAAATTTGATTCTTCCGAAGGAAGGAGTTTCGTTTGTATTTATAAGAAAGCTTATTACAAACTAACAAATCAAATGTTTACAACAGAAGCAGAGGGAAGGCCCTCTTTGTTTTGTGTGGGGACTTTAGGTGGCTATAGGACGCTTCGCTCGATGGTCGGGTCGAGTCTGCTTCCCTTGGACCGTTTGAATGAGGTTGCTGGAGAGCTTCAGTTCGCAGTAGAAGCTCGGGGCAATGGAGTTCGGGTCTGCTTGGTTCGTCGGCGATCGGAGCTCGGAACTAGGCAGCAGTGCTGTAATGCAAGGATTTGCTAACAGCTTGGTCTCAACTCTTTTTTCTCCAAGTTTTGCGACCTCTCTTCCATCGTGCTGGAAGGGGTTTTTAAATGAAAGAAGGACAGCTTGACTTCTCCTTGAATTGTGGGATGTGACCACATCCTCTTCAGAGACGTCTCGCCGTTCCTCGATACCATGAACGGTCATTCCAGGGATTGTATTCTATGTCCTGTCACCTACGATGGGAAGACCCATTCTTGTATGTGAGGCAACAAACGACTGCTATCCGAGTGGATTTGACCAGCATTAATGAACCGCATTTATGAGTTCGCAGATCGATGAAGTGTCTGTCCGATCACTTGTACTGTGCGTGACCGCCCGGCGTGCTTTGAGCACGATGCTTTCTCCTTTCCGGCCAGGAGAGGCGGTGAAGTAGGTGTACAGTACTCGAGTGGGTCTAGCCAGCTTGCCGAGTGCCGGCGGATCCACCTCCAGACTCAGACAGCCGAGGTGAGTCGCATTTATGAATGCTCAGGTTGACTCGACACCTGTCCAGTCCCTTCGCGCTGTGCGCACTGCGAGCGGCCGTTTGACGGTCCTGGGGTACTGTGCTCTCTCTCCCTTCGGGTCGAGAGAGATGGGAAGGTCCATCTCAGCACGTGGGGTAGTGGATACCCAGCTGTACTGACGGTTTTGGGGCTTGCTGGCGGATTCGACTCCGAACTCGGGCAGGCGAGTTGAGCGAAGAGCGAATTTCCGCCATCCTGATCGACCCTGACTCATGCTGGCGAGTCGACCGTTAGGCGAACCTGGACTTGAGTACAGTCGACGTCTACGCGGTTTAGGTCCGTGCCAGAGAACTGGGTGTGCGAACTCTTCTCGTAGGTAAATTTCCTGTAGACCCATAGAGGTATTTTTTACCGTCTACAAGACCCCCTTCAAAGTTTTCAGACCTGAACTAGCTTGCGTGTGGTCTGGAATACTTTGAATGAAGAAATTGTTGGCGAAGCAAGTGCCTTCGATTTCTCTTAGGATTTTTAGCAAATCCTCAGCTATCAACGGGTTTGATGATAATGTTTGGATGCCAGAGATATCACAGGAGAATTTTAATGAAGATAAAGAGAAAGAAGTGCTTATGATCCAACCTTTGAATTGCCTGCCTCCAGTTGATCAAGAACTCAATGCTAATTCAAAAATTACTTATGTTAGAAGGTGTTCCAGATTTGAGGACCTTGAACCAATGTCTGCTTTGGATAGAGCTTCTGCAAGAGCTGCCTCAAAAAATGGATCTAATATTGGAGCTGCTTCAGGTGGATCAGGTGAAAATTCTTCTAACCTGGGTTCTTCTTTTGTTCCTATTCTGTTTGATTCATTATCTAATAAAGAAATGCAGAATTTGGCTTCAAAATGTGCTATAATTCTTGAGCCTCAAGGGGTGTTTGACCCTTTTAAAAAAGTGAGGCAAATGGAGAAGGAGAGAGCTACGTTAGAGTAGACTCTACTTCCTTTGTTTCATAAGAGGAGATTCTACTCTTCATACATGTTGGTTACATGGAATGTTAGAGGTCTTGGTCTGAGTACAAAAAGATTTGGGGTAAAAGATTTTTGTCTTTTAAATAAATTTGAGATTATTTGTCTTCAAGAAACTAAGTTGAATAATGTTGATGACAGAATTTTAAGTAGTTTGGGTAGTAATATGTTTGAATGGGTTGTTTTACCCTCAGTGGGAACTTCAGGAGACATTATGATTGGTTGGAATAGCAGTAAGTGGTTAAAAATTCAAGACTTAACTGAGGATTATGTTTTGACAGTTATGTTAAAGAATAAGAGAAATGACTTTGTTTGGTCCATTTCTTATGTTTATGGTCCTCATTATAATAGAGAAAGAGTTTTATTTTGGCAAGAACTTAAGATTGTGAAGGCAAGATTTTCAGGACCTTGGGTGGTTGTGGGGGATTTTAATGTCACCCTAAATGCAGATGAAAGAAAAGGTAAATAGAATTACAGAAAAGAAATGGAAGAATTCAGGGAGGTGATTAATGAATTAGAGCTGATTGATAGTCCTTTACATGGGAGGCAATTTACTTGGACTAATAAAAGAAGGGCTCCTTCTATGGCTAGATTGGACAGAGTTTTCTTCAACTCTGAATGGGAGGATAATTTTCCTTTTTCTAAGCAACAAGGTTTGTGCAGTCAGTTATCTGATCATGCTCCCATTTGTTTTGATTGTGGGGATAATCAACAGTTTGTTAAAAAATTCAGATTTGAGAAGATTTGGTTACAGTCTGATGATTTTAAAAAAGGGATACCTATTTGGTGGAATTGTGCACCTAAAAGTACATCTGCAGCAAAAAATATTGTTGGCAAATTGAGATTTATTAGAAAATGTATTAAAAAATGGGTTCAATCTGACTTTTATAGTGTTAAAAAGAAGAAAAAAGAGTTGTTGGATAAGTTGTTGGAATGGGAGGTTATAGAGGAAAATAGAAATTTGGAAGATGATGAATTAGTTAAAAAAAATGATATTTCCATTCAGTTGAATGAGATCTTAATTCAAGAAGAACAGATGTGGAAACAAAGATCA